GCTTCGTTTGCGTTTATTAGTATAATGATTAGTTTTTTGTAAATTTAAATTAGGACGATATTGGATATTGCTGCTATGTCCAGACTTTATAAGGGCTTCTTTGTAAATAGAAGAAGAGTTTTCGAAAATTATTTTGCTGGAGGAGTTTGATGATAATCTTTATTCAATAGAGGTCGGCAGCTGTTTTAAAATACTTGGTGGGTGATTAGAGCTGGCATGGATATAGTTTAACAAACTTTCAGGTTTATGGTAAGGTTTGAAGCTGCAGTCATTAAGATTTAATGTAATATCAAGATAATTCACAATTTTTATGTTGCATTGAATAGAAATATTAAGGCTGTTACTTTTAAATATCTGAGTTATATGTTTTTTAACTTTTTCCATTTGTGGACCGCTGGCGTTTTTAATTACGGCCAACCCATCAACTCTATACAGCCCAAAGTCAAACTTGTTATAAAATTGAGAAATTTGGAAAAGAAGGAAAATTCCAACCAACTCACATACCTCGGCACCGTCAAACGCTCCCATGGCGACGTCAAATAAATCACCTGATTTTTATATATATATATATATATATATATATATATATATATATATATATATATATATATATATATATATATATATATATATATATATATATATATATATATATATATATGTATATATATATATATATATATATATTAGGGTGGGTCATAAGATTTTTTTTTAAAGTTGCTAACCTGGCTATGGCCTAGAAAGTTGTTTTTTTATGTACTAATTTAGGAAAGTATTTTATATATATATATATATATATATATATATATATATATATATATATATATATATATATATATATTAGGGTGGGTCATAAGATTTTTTGTACTAATTTAGGAAAGTATTTACTTTTATGGATTGAACAATGTCTTTCACCCGCAACTATAATTACAAAAATTAGCAGGCCCTATTATTATTCAAAAACAAGTTTTTCAAACTTATGTGATGCACTCAAATAAAGCGAAATTTTATAAAAATTTGAAAAATAATAATTTTTTCATATAAAAATTATTATTTTAGATTTTATTGCATAATAACTATAGTTTTTTAACTCAAAGTGAAAAAGGTGCATTTTTACATGTTTTTAATAACAATTTTTTTTGGCAATATGATTTTCATAAAACGATTATTATTTTCGAATTTTTTATAAAATTTCGCTTTCAATTTGATAGCAGATTTGGTTTAAAATATTTCATCTTTAAATGTATTTCAATTTAATGCAAAAACTCAACTTTTAAAGTTTAGTTAAAATTTAGTTTTAGTTAATGTTTAACTAAAAAAAGTTTAGTTTTCTTAATGTTTAACTAAAACGAAACTTTAACTAAACTGAAAATTAATTAAATGTTAGACTAATCTTTAACTAAACTGTAAATCAATTTAATATTTCCAAGATTGAAGTAGGACAACTTGTTCAATGATATAAACTAAACTTAAAAAAAAAACCTATAATAATTTTTGTTGTTCCTTCTAATATATTTTAGGACAGTGTCACTTACAAATATTTCAAAAATACCATAAGAGTTATTTTGTAGCTTGATATATCTGATTTTAGATTATGTTTTACTCTATTTCATGCCATTTGAATACTTGTTATGCATATTTGGGAGGTGGGGGAGGAGGGCCGGTTAATAAAATATAAAAAAATCCATAATTTCAAAATTTTTCCTTTCAGTGGAAATAGAAATGTCAACAAGCAATAGTTCCAAAAAATATCTAACTGCTAAGTTTTCCTAGTTGGAAAAAAAATTAGAACAATACTTTTCACACAATTGTCAACTAAAAAAAATATATTGCAATATTATTATTACAGAGATTTTATGCTAAAAGCCGATTTTCCAAACATATCATTAGTTAAATTCATGTACACTTGGTGACTTTTTTACTGCTCAATGCGCTGAAGTAGTCTCCAAAAAGATTTGTATGTCCTTTACTAAGTAAAAAAAAATTGGCAAAAAGCAGGAACTCCTTTTGTTATTACTGACAAGCATATCAGGTGTTTATTATATTAAAATGCTTATTAATTTATAGTTTAAGCAATTTTAAATTGAAATTATATAAAGCTTTACAAACAATTATTAGGTCATAAGAATTTTTATATAATTAATGAATTATGATATTCAAAATAAATTATTCTACTTTTGTTTTATTTAGAGTCAAGGTTGTTGATAAGAAAAGAAAGGATTTAAACAAACACAGGAAACATTTAAGCGAAAATTTAGTTTTAAAAAGAAAATCTTTTTCAAAAATGCTAGAGGAGGTATTTGATGGAAGTTAAAAAAAATTATGAAGATATTATGATGAAAGATAAAACTAAAGATTTAAAAACTAGACAAAAGATGGAAATTTTCTTAACAATCAAAAAGAAATACATGTTCAAAAAATATTATGTAAAAATAATATTTCACAAAAAAATGTAAGAAACAAAAGAAAAAGAGAAATTAAAAAAGATTTAAAAAAAACAGAGAAAATTGATTACTGAAAAAATTGAAGACACAACAAAATGTTTAGATATTTTTGATAACGACAAAGATGAACAGCCAATTGGAAAATTAAAAAATCAAATAATGCTCCTCTTTTTGTTCCAAAAAATATCGAAAAAAATGTAGCTCCAACAGCATCACAATATGAAATAAATTTAACTGCACTAAGTGCAACTCTTTCTTCATTTATAAATAACAGTTCTGAAAAGACAGATTATTCTATTTCTAAACAAAGTATTTTGAGGCAGAAAAAGTTTTATTAAAGACAACATTTTTTTTTTGGCTATAGGTTATGGTTTTACCGCCTTACATTTTGACACAATAATTATAGTAAAAATGAAAGAACTTGGTAAAGAGAAAGTTGAGTAGCTGTGCTAATCAGTTCAACAGATCTTTTAATCCCAACTTTTTAATCCCAACTTTTGGGTATTGTAATTGTAGAAGATGGCACTGGCAAATCTCTTGAAAAAACAATCAAAAAAACTTTACAAGACTTTTGACTATGTTGTTTGTTTGTCCTTTGACACCACACTCAGAAATACTGGTTGAGCAGTGGCGAGGAAAATCTTTGATTTAGATGGCTTGTCATAATGCCTATCAATCACATATAAAGGTAAATATTGAAAAAAAACTAAATATAAACAAAGTCATAAAATGTCTCTACATTTATTTTTACATTTAATTGTGAATTTCTCACTGAAAAATATATATAACTTTTGTTTGTAATATTTTTTTTCTTCAACTTTCTAAAAGTAAAAAATTATTATTATCTGCAAAGCTGCAATTTTAAGAAATAATGAAAAAATAATTAGCATTAAAAATTTTTTTTTTAATTTATATAAATGTAGAGAAAAGAAAGGAATTAATTTATGTTAAATGTTATGTTAATTAATGCTAATTTATGTTATGTTTACTACTGAACTTTGATGGAAACTAAATATAAAATCAATTGTTAAATTAGCATTTGCTAAGGCTGCTTCTCTTTATCGTGCTCACCATTTTCTCTCTGCTGATTCCATTCTCTACCTCTACAAATCTCTTATTTATCCCTGTATGGAATACTGTTGACATAAATGGGCTGGTTCTTCTAAAAATCAAAACTCTAAACTAAAACTCATTCTTACTTGACTGGTCATTCAGCAAAGTCTCATTCATTCAATATACCTGTCCCTGCATGTTCTAAAAACTTTTATTTGTCTAGTTTTTTCCCCTGCACTTCAACCCTTTGAATTTCTTTCCCATCTTCATGTTTTCCTGATCTATACTTCCTTCAACTTATTAAGTCTTCTGTCAACCATTTCCTTGCTCTATAACTCTATTCTTTTTTTCTAGTAACTCCTAACTTAATAGCGGTTGCTTGAAGGCTTGTTAGGAGTGAATCAAAAATTTTTTTAAAAAACTTGTTTTTTTTAATTAGTAAATTTTTGAAGTAATTTATTTTATTGTGGTAGTTTAAAAAAGTTAATGTCCAAATAAAATGATGTAAAAATCACGACAAGCTAAATTTCAAAGCTGTTTTTATTTTAAACAAGGCCTATATATATATATAAAGTTGAACACACAGTTATGATTACAAAATACGTCATTTTTTTGAGCTTAAATTTTAAATTTATTTTAAAAAAACTTAAACGTAAAATTTAAATTTTATAAAAACTTTAACATAATAGATTTTCAAATTGATTTTTTATCAAAAGTTTTACAAAGCATTACGCATAGAATTCTATACGTAATGCTTTATTCTAAGAATAGTATTTTTTTTTAAATGTAATATAAATATATTTTCATTTTAAAATTTTAGTTTTTGAAGCTTAGATTATTTTTTTTTTCTTTAAGATTTTCTTTTTTTATGAGTTATTTTTTAAATTTTATTTTTATTTTCATCGCATTTTTGAAACACCTTAAAGTTGTCAAAACAAACTGCCGGCGTCAGGAATAGCATTCTATCATACTTTTTTAGTTTATATCGGACATGTCCACTAAACTTGAATATTAATTGGACATATTTATATATACATATACATATACATATATATATATATATATACATATATATATATATATATATATATATATATATATATATATATATATATATATATATATATGTATATATATATATATATATACATATACATATATATATATATATATATATATATATATATATATATATATATATATATATATATATATATATATATATATATATATATATATATATATATATATATATATATATATATATATATATATATATATATATATATATATATGATACACTTGTTTCAGCCACTTTAGTGGCTGGGATTCTCTTCACTTTTCACAAATTATTGATTTTTAGAATTGAAATATTTATACTATTTATTTGAATATTTATTTTAAGCATCAAAGTAAATTTGAAAGAAAAAAAAAAGAAACTAAAAATTAATCTTAAAAAAATTCAACAAAAAAACATTAATAAAACTAATATAAGCATTATACCCTATTTTCACTGTTAGCAGGTGTTAACCATGGTGGTAAAAAATCAGCTGCTTCAATTAAGAGAAAGTCTCCATCATTATCATTCACTCTATAATATAAATATATATATATATATATATATATATATATATATATATATATATATATATATATATATATATCCTTATAGTGTAGTCAAAAGAGTCTTTTAATGTAAAAAAGTCTCTTTCGACTACAATTTTAATTACCTCGTCTCTTAAGCTGTATTTGATTGTCGTCGAAATGTCAAAGCAATTAAATTAATGCGGAAGTACATTAAATTATATTGTTTTTTAAAAAAATTTTCAAAAACCGCATTAATAACAACTAGAAAGTTTTTTTTAATTAGTAGTGTTTTTGTTTTTGTTTTATTAAAAAACATTTTTAAAACATGCGTAAATGTTGTTACATCGACTATCTTATAGCCTGACTCGCAATGGAGTGCTGCTACATCGACTGACAAATAGCCTGACTCGCAAGGGAGTGCTGCTACATCGACTGACAAATAGCCTGACTCGCAAGGGAGTGCTGCTATATCGACTGACAAATAGCCTGACTCGCAAGGGAGTGCTGCTACATCGACTGAGGGTTTGGTTTGGGCAGGCAGTCTATCATTTAAAAAAAAAAAAATTTAACGCGCTCTTTAAAACTACAGTTTATGGGAAACTCTTTTTAACTACCATGCAAGAGTATATATATATATATATATATATATATATATATATATATATATATATATATATATATATATATATATATATATATATATATATATATATATATATATATATATATATATATATATATATATATATATATATATATATATATATATATATATATATATATAGATATATATATATATATATATATATATATACATATATATATATACATATAATATATATATATATATATATATATATATATATATATATATATATATATATATATATATATATATATATATATATATATATATATATATATATATATATATATAGGCCTCGGCCGGAATAAATGAGGGCGAGAGCCGAGAGCTGCTCTCCTAAATCGAACAAGGAGAGCCAGGCGAACTGCTCCTCTAAAATGAATTTTACGAGAGCTTTTGGTTTTTACGAGAGCTCTCTCTAAATTCATTTAAAAAAAGGTTTATTAGAATTTTATACTAAGATTAAATTATAAAGATGATGATTTTATACTTGATAAAACCATATGTAACATTAATGTTACAAGTATGCAACTTATACTAAAATATATATATATATATATATTATTATTATATATATATATAAGTCTGCAAATTTTGGACCAAGTTTTGTATAATTACTAAAAAGATCGGAAGATATATATTTCTATCCTAATAAACTGTTTAAAAATGTTACAATAATTTAATAAAATAGGTACTAGATGGTTTAGATTTGCTCTTAGTAACAAGGACAGACTTTTCTTTCATAAACATCTTTGCTAACTTTAAAATATTGTCATTATTGTAAAAGCAACATTCCACAACAAGGATTTTAGATTAAGAAAGATGGGCCACGGCGACATAGCCCCTTTCATAGCCCCTTTTTTTTACAACGTAGGGTTTTATTATTACTTTAGTATTTTAGGTTTATTGGTGCTTCAGTGCTCCCCCTCCCTACCATAATGTCATCTCGCGGCCGTTGAGAACAATCTATCTGTACTGCATATCTGCGTTAGAAATAAAAAGAAAAAGTTTTTATTATTATTTCTATTATAACTTTTCAGTGTAATTATGTAATATTTTTATTCGAATTTATAATACTATATTAAAAAAACACTCTGCTTTACTAAAAGACAAAATTATTGTTGCATAGAATAACTTATATTACTAAGTCGAGAAGTTTTTATCCATTTGTAAAGTTGAAATAAAATCGCAAAAAATAAAAAATAAATCACAGACTACTACTTAAAAAAATAAATAAGCGCATTTTGTAAGCTAAAAAGTCAATCTGAAACTCGAACTTTATCTTTTTTATACGATGTATTTTGCACCAGAATATTTACTTTTTCTAATAAATATCTAAAAGAAAAAATCAAAATATAGTGTTTTACATTTATGACAACATTATAGTTTTGCGAGAGCTATAAATAGCTCTCGTAAACCACTTTAGGGGAGTTTGGACGAGAGCTATAGCTCTCGCTTCTCGCAGAGGCCTGTATATATATATATATATATATATATATATATATAATATATATATATATATATATATATATATATATATATATATATATATATATATATTTATATATATATATATATATATTTTTTTTAATATAAATATAGTACTTTCAAATTTTTCTTTTCTAAATAATAACATTTCTCTTTAGATTTTCTTCACATATATAATTCATTAGACAGTAGAAATAAAAAAAAAGGCAACCCTTGTCGTAAAAATATATGTATAAGAGAGGTAGGGGTGTTCGATTTCACTTTTTAACTAGTTTTGGCAAGTAGTTTCATCTGATTTGGAAAGTGTTCTTAAATTAAATGTATTTATATTTTAAAAATGTTTATTTAATTATACTTTATTGTTTGAAGCCAAAAAAAATGAAATTTTTTTACTTGCCAGGAAATGGATTAAATTCAATCTATTTACAATTTACTGAAAGTGGAAAGTATTTATAAATTAATCACTTTCTTTAGATTTTTATGACTTTAAATTTATAGTATTACTATTAATTAAATTTGACCTTACTTTCCTTCACTTTCTAATCACTTCCCACTGGAAAAAAAAAAATTTTAACATTTTTACTTTTATTTTCTTTATTTAATAAGATTTCTTTTTAACAAATAGTTGATTATATTAATCAATATTTAATAATTTATAATAATTTATTTAATATAATAATAATTTTTAACAAATAGTTGATTAGTATAATCATAACAGTCCTCATAACTGCATGCCATCCTTTTTGCTATAAAGAAACCATGGATTGAAGGATGATATGACAGCAGCATATTTTTTCACAAACACAATCAGGTTTGCTAAATAATATATAACTATTAGGGTTTGCAATCCCGAAATCCCAGGATTCCGGCTTTTTTTATAATCCCAAAATCCTGGGATTGTCTAATATCAATCCCGGGATTCCCTATACGATCGAGAAAAACAAGAGGGAAATCAAAAAATATATAAAAATAACAACAATTTATGTGCATCAATATAATAATTTTTATTTAGGAGAATATTGCAGAAAGTAATTCTATTTTCAGTTGTTCTGTTCTGTAATTCTGCAAAAAAAACTTTTATAAACTGAAAAAAAAAAAACGATTGTTTCTTACAAGGTTTACTCTTAAAATTAAAACTTAAATAAGGATGGTATATGTGGATTTTTACAATTAAAAGTAACTCAATTGTTTGGAAATATTTTTTAAGAGAAGAGAAAGGGCAAACAGCGATGTGTAAATTGCTAAACTGAAAAAAGATTTTAAAAGTAGTTCAATAAAAGGACTTTATATACACATGCTGTCAGCGCATAATATGAAGGTCAAAAATCCAACCCAACCTAATATTACCAGAGAAAGCACATCAGATAAACCACCAAAAAAGAAATCTAAACCACTAACAGAATACTTTTTGAAAAGGAAGATAAAATACTTCACACTACACTTGTTCATATAAAGGCGTCTGATGGGCTTGTATTTAATGTGATTTGTTCTTCAATAGATTTACGTGCCGCTCTAACTGCTATGGGATTCAGAAATCTACCAACATCAGTAAACACAATTCATAATCATTATTCTCATTATCTCATAATCAATATCTCATAAGTTGCAGAAGACTTTGTTGGACCAGAGGTAATAGATATAAAAGCTTTATGAATATTTTGAAATATTTTTTGTATGTCTATGTGCTTTTCTTTATCTGTGAATTGTTTGATTTTTTAAACTGATTTCTTTCATTATTTTTGCTTTTAAAATCAATTTTTTAAATGATTATGTAGTAGAGTACAAATTGAAGCGCTCAAGAGTACAGAATTGGGGGTAGGAGAGTACAGAATTTAGGGTAGGAGAGAAATTTTCTTTGTCTTTTGATGAATAGACGTCACTTCGAAATCGTCGCTATATGAATATTAACATGTATGGAAAAAATTATCAGTTTTGGAATTTAGGTTTAGTGCAAACAACAGGGTCAATGCCAGCAGAAAAGTGCATCGAATTATTAGAAGAACAAAATAAAGACCATTGTCTACACGCCGATATTATGGCTATAATGAACGACAGAGCTAGTGTTATGAAAAAAGTTGAAAGGTTGCTGGCTGCAAATCAACAATTATGAAATGCCCACGGCATGCAACTTGCTGTAATTGTTGTTCTTTATAAAAAAAAGAATTCTATGCAAATTAGCCAGAATTTGAAAATGAATTTTTTGACAGTGGTTCATCCGAGAATAAGGATATTGAGGAAGATTTACTGCGCTACAATCATAAAACTTTAAGATCTAAAATTGAACTAAATGAAGTTTATTATGGACCAGTCATTAAAAAAGAATGCAAGTTAATAATAATACTTAGACGATCACCTACCAAGAACAAGATCTTACAAAAATATAGGCTGAATTTGGAAAACAGGCTGTCATTTATTATGGATTGCAAAACAAGGTGGGGCAGCCTTCTGTTAATGCTTAAACAATGTTATAAAATAAAAAATTGCATACAAAAATCACTAATTGATATTTATACAGTGCAAGATAATTCTACAGCTCTGTCGCATGATGATTTGACAATATTATCAGACATTATTACAACTTTAGTTCCTATTAAAGCAATGTTTGGAGCACTTTAATCGCCGAGATTTTTATCTATTTACAGCTAACATTGCTATTAATTTTATGCTTACAAAATTAAAAGATGCTGACAACAACACAAGTAAGGAAATGCGTACAGCTTTAATAGCTTGTATACATGAATGCCAAACTGATATGAGTGGGCTGTAATACCTGCATAATGGTCAAAGCTCTGTTGAAGTTGATGAAGAAATAATTGCAGTGCTTTCTTCATTTAAATATCAAAAACTGTTGGTAGAATTGCTGGAAAAATTAAACGCTTCCAATCCTGCTTTAGTAAGAGCATCAGAGCGGGCATTTTCTTTTGCTAGACTGTTTAATAATAAAATTTGTAACAGGTTGGGAGATGAAACATTGGACCATAGATCATCAAGATCATATTTTAAAAATCCGGAAAATTGTTTGGGTAAAATATCCGGAATATATTTTCCCTTATTTTCCTCTTAATTATGCTTTTAGCTAAGTTGTTTTAAATTTTTTTTCAAACTTTTTTTAATTTTTGTATAAGTGATGAGTGAAAATGCTTTAAAAAACAAATATATTACAAAAATATATACCTAAACTTGTATGTATGTAAAACGTTTTGGATATCCAGAAAAACTTAAAGTTGAAAAAAATATCCGGAATTCCGGAAATATCCAGAAAAAGAAAATCCCTGCATTGGACACATTGTGCTTCCTGAAGTCACATTTCAAAGTACATGAAACATGATATATTTCCTTATTTCTAATGAAATTTCTTAACATTAATTAACATGTTTTTCTTCTATGCATGTAACGATGTAATGCAAACAGCATCATTTATAAAATATATTTTAGTTTAAGAGTGTACTGTTTTTATTCTACTTAATACTATATAGGGTTGAAAAAGACCTCTGAGATTGTAAACCCTAATAATTATAGCTATTTTATTTTTTACCGAATTTTAATTTTTCTTATATTAATTTATTAACTTTGCTCTTTTCATTATGCCTCTGATATGAGGTTATATTAAAAAGTTTTAAAGCAATTAGAAAAAAATTTAATAAGTATTATGTATTCCAGGATATTAAATTAAATGCAATCTCACTTTCTATGATTTATTAGAGTAATAAAAAAAACAGCGAAACCTTAGTTAAACCATAGTCAATAGAAGTTATCTCTTATTTAACGTTACACTTAAAGGTTATCCTGGGATAATTTCTATTGACTATGGTTTAACTAAGGCTTCACTGTTTTATTTTACTACTCTAATAAATCATAGAAAGTGAGATTGCAGTTTGTTTAACAAATTATATTTATTTTAAATTCAATTTAAAAAGAGAAAATGGTAAATAAAAAAATTGTTTGTATTTTCAAAATAACAGCCTTCGTTTATTTTATAATTTTTGGCGTTAAAATAACAACTCTTTAAAATTACCTGATTAATTAAATTCTATTTAATTATATAACTTAAAATTTATTTAAATTCATCAACAGTAATAGATATATTTATTATTTAAAATTAAACAATAAACAATTTTTAACTTTAAGTGCATAAACAGTTCAGTTATAAATATTATCTTATCTTTGGGTAACGGCTTTGTGTAATCGAGCTCATTTAACAAACAGTAATTCTTATTTTTACATTATTATTTTCCATATTTTTTTCTTTGAAAATCAATAAACTGAGACAGGTCTTTATAAGCTCTGGGTAGTCAGTAATTGATAAAATAAATAAGATCTAAATAAATTTTTTTAAAGACTTTTCAATGGAAAATAATGGGAAAGTGTAAGGAAGTAAGGTTTAATTTAATTAATAGTAATATTATAATTTTATTACCTTTTAAAAACTTAGAAAACGATTAATTTAAATTTAAATACTATCACTTTCTGGATATCCACTTCCCGGAAAGTTGGAAACTCATCAAAACTTAACTTTTTTTGTCACATAATTGTATAATTGAAACAATTCATTTTTTATTATAAAAACATGGATTATTTTACTAATTTACTAATCTTATAAGTGGTTACATCACTATCATTTTTAATCCGAATAAGTAATGCTATGCATTAAAACTACTTTATCATGTTTGCTATACTATAACTTGAAACATTAAACATGTTAAACAAATGATTTTAGATGACATGTAAATAAGTGTTACAATATAAAAAAAAATACAGGAATAGAAAATACTGCCACTTACTGTATAATAACATCTTTATGATGTTTACTAATTTCAAAAAGAAGATAAACAATAAACCATTCATCATTAATATTCTCACCAACACATGTGCTTCCACTAAGGCATGCAAGTCCTAATTTAAGAAAATTTTTAAAATTGAATCGGAAGTTATAATAACAACAAGTAATAATAAAAATAGCAACTTTTTAATTTAAAAAAAAATTATAAATAAAAGATTAAAAACAAAAAATAAAATTAAAAATATATATATATATACAAAAAAAAAAAAAAAAATTAATTACTGCAATAAAATAACAAAGGTAAAACCAGAAAATTAACAATCATTAAAAATTGATATCCACAACAAATATAAACATGACTTTCTATATTACCAGGATGAAGTATTGTACATCAGAATTGTCTGACTGAAAGTCAATTTATAATGATGTGCTCACATTTTTATTTTTTTAACTTTAAACAAAAACTTGCAATTGCCTTTAACAAGAACAAAACATGAAAATGGGAGAAAGTTCCAAAGCAACAAAGTGCAGGGAAAAAAGCTAGATAAATAAATGTTTTTAGAGCATTAAGAGACACCTACAGTAAGATGCAATTTTTCTAAATGATGAGTCAAGTGAGAATGAGCTTATTTGAGCAGGGGCCATGATAGTATTTGTAGAAAAGAGAAAGCAGAGGTGTACACTTGTGGTTACCTAACGGTACCAGGTAGTCAAATTTTGCGAAGGGTGACTAAAAATATTTCTTCAATGCAATAAAGTCACTCAAATAGATGACTATTGATTTTCATTAGCATTTCAAGCTTTTTTTTTCAAATTAAAGAATTTTATAAAAAGAAAAATAACTAAAATGATAAAACTCATAAAAACAATTTAAAATAATATTATTATATTTTAAAAGTCACAGTGCCAAAGTTTGTTTTCTGCATTTTCTATTTTAAATTAGAACATAAGAAAACTGCACGACTGTTTAAACATGTTTAAAAAAAATACTTCCTCAATAAAAACTAAATATATCGTTTAATCAAAAAAATACTTCCTCAATAAAAACTAAATATATCATTTAATCAAAAAATACTATTTTACTTTTATTTTTTACAAATTTTATTTAAGGGTTTAGAGGTTAAGCAATAGAACTAAAATTTGTCAATAAAAAAAAATACTTCAACAGGCTTTGTTAAGAAGCATTACACTTTCTATTTTTTGTTTAACATACAAAATGGCGATTTAAACAAATAATAAAAATCTTTTATTATTTATGTGAAGTTTATTCAGAAAATACTTCGTAAAAAAAAAGCTTTAACCACAACTGCGATTTTTTTAAAGAACTTTTTTGAATTAAATTAAAATAACATGAAATTTAAAAATTTATTTTATAAACAATTTAGTTTAAAAAAATCTTAGTATTTAGTAGTTTAGTAAATTTAGTAAAATTTAATTTTTAGATTTAAATTTAGTTTCTCTTTCACAAATGTTTTTTAAAATTTTATGTTTCATATTACTTCAAAATTGTGTTAAATTTAAGTGACATAATACATAAACATAAACTATGTTTACAAATATTTTATTGGTAACTGATAAAATCTATCTATAAGTTGTTATAATCTTTATTTTAAATATTACATTAAATAAGTAAAAATTATAAAAAGTGATAAACAAACAAAAGATTATGAAAAGTTTAAGATTGTTTTAAGAAACAAATTATAAGGAAATAAAATCTTTTTTAAATATCGGATTTAGATTCTATCAATAACTTTTGAATTATTAGTTTAAATGATTTATAATGCGATTCAAAATTAAATTTAATTACACTTCAAAATATAAATGGTTTTCAGGCTCCTGTAACAAGTAAGATTTTAATAATTACAATACATTAAAAGCAAAAGGTTATAAAGTATTTGTTAATTGATTTATCAAGACTTTGTTGTTGTAAAAAAGAGCACCTAATTTTTTTATAAAATAAACACTCAACTTAAGTGAAAAAACTGTTATCAATAGTTTGTAATAGTTTTATTTACACAAACTATTTCTAGTCTACACTTAGCCCTGTGAGGAAAAATGACTAGAATATGCAAGAACTGCAATCAATGCAAAAACTTTTATGAAAAACAGCGACAGGCAACTCTAATTGTAGGCAGGCGACCAATATTAACAAACTGGTTACTTGTAGTTGCCATTCTGGCAACTGACAAAAAGTATGAGTATACACCTCTGGAAAGAGATCCAACCCTTTGACAATGGAAGAGTAGCTTAAGCTTGGCAGATAAAGTAGGTCTTACTATGTTTACAATGCGTTTCAAGACTTGCCTAGAAAAGAAAGAGCATCATTAGAAGAACTAGCCTTTACATGACAATAGTTAACATGACAACAGTTAACATGACAACAGTTAACATGACAACAGTATTCCATTTAGAGACAGATAAGCTATTTGTAGAGGTAGTTTTATTTTTTAAGTAATTAGTGTAAATTTTTAATCAAGATTATAAAAAATTTATAGATTGATTTTATCAGCTACCAATAAGATATTTATAAACATAATTTATGTTTATAAATATATATATATATATAAATAGCGCCAAATATATATATATATATATATATATATATATATATAATATATATATATATATATATATATATATATATATATAAATATTATTATACTATTATATATATATATATATAAATATTATTATATATATATATATATATATAAATATATATATATATATATATATAAATATATATATATATATATATATATATATATATATATAATATATATATATATATATATATATACATATAAATAGCGCCAAAAAATCTTTATACAATATTGAATAAGAAACAAAATATTTAAATACATTTATGAGAAGAATAATTAACAAAAACCTTTTCCCATTTACTTGAAAATAAAGTTTTTTATTTACTTTGGCATATTTTTATCTATGATGGAGAGACTTGTGTTTTACATAATGAATTAGTTAACAGATAATAAGAAAAAAACTTCTTTAATAAATATTGCAAAACTATTTAGTCTCTTGTATTGAAATATTTATTGAAAAAATGATTTTTTCACTCTAAATTGGAAAATATATTCTAAATTTCTTGTTTCCTTAAATCAAAAAATTGTTGGGAATCGATATAGGGCAGTTCATTATATTTCAACCAATTTAAAGAAAACTTTCTGGAACACCATTTCTGATAATCCTTATTTTCACATATTCTTATGTGCATATATAGATAGGTCAAAATTTAAATTTTCAGACTTCCAAATACAATGGAAGAAAATTTAGAAATTATAGCTTTTTAAACACAACAAAATACTGTTTGATTTATAAATGGTCAAAGTAAGTACTTTAAAATCTTTTTTTTTGTTGAGATTTTTAATGAGACACTTTCAACAAGTGTCGCATTTCTAGAATTATTTCTGGATAATCTCTTTAAAAAAGTTGTTTTTAATAACTTGTATTATATTAAAGAATAATTAGAACCGTGACTTTTTGTTGAAAACAAAATATTCTGAAAATTGCTAAAATATGCCAAAATAAAGTTAATTGTTGATGCATGATGGAAATTTTTCTATTCATTTATTAGTCTTTAAAGCTAGTTTTTTTAATTAGCTGTTTGCAGTAATTGTCAAAATATAAGCAACTTGTTGCAGTTTAAAACTCAATTATGTTTAAAAGTATATTGCCCATTTGCCAAAAAGATCTTCAGCCATTTTAAGATGTTTGTAAAATTTTCTAATACTTTCTTTTGATCTAAGATTAACAACATATGAAACCATAAGGCCCAGCGATCTAAAAATGCAAACATTATAAACTTTTCATATTCTAACCTGCTTAACAGCCCATGCGAGGGGTGCAATTATAAGTCATTTTTTAATAACAACAACAAAAAAAGATATGGTCTCCTTAATACGGTCTTTATAGTGGATAGGGGCAGAAAATTTCTATTAACTGGAAACTTTTATTATGTTTCTAATGTGATACTTTAAAAATGTTTTAAAATCAAAAATATTATTTCTTTAAACTCTTTTATTATACATAGATCATTCAGGTCATATTTATAAAATCCGGAAAATTTGTATGGGTAAAATATCGGGAAAAATCAGGAAAATATATTCCCTTATTTTCCTCTTAGCTGAGTTGTATCTCTTTTTTTTTCAAATTTATCTTTATTTTTCTATGAGTGATGAGTGAAAAAGCCTAAAAAACAAATATTTTATTAAAATTATACCTAAACTCATATGTATAAAAAATTTTTTGGATATCCGGAAAAACTAAAAGTTGAAAATAATATCGGGAATTCCAGAAATATCCGGAAAAGGATGATCCCTGATTATAAGTGAATCATCTACAATGAACTGAATTTAATTACTGATTAAAATGCTAGTATTTCAGTACAAAAGTAGAGCATTGGATTCAGGCATCAATGGTTATATGAAGTAGAACAAGATGAATTAAACCTAATAACAATGTAATCATATTTTGTTTTACTAACTACTTTAAAAAATAATAATCAAGTTTGCATTTGGAAATAAAAAATCTTCTTATGAAAAATGTAAAAATATATTAAAATCTTTGATGTTGAATTTCCTAAAAAAAGTTTAAAAAGGAAGATTTCTATAACAAAAAAACTAACATATTGTAGAACTTAATTAAAAAAAAAAATTAAAAATAATAAGAAAATAATGATTTTCTGTATATATGTATATTGAGTTAAACCTCTGTTGCAGGTAAGCTTTATATATATGAAGTTAATTCTCATTAGAAAGTTTTAACATTTAAAATAACTTGAAAGTAGGTTTGTTTTCAGCAAATAATATTATGTAACCTTCAGCAAGTAATATTATGTAACCAGAACTTTACCAGAAATGTATAAAAGATTCAAAGTCTAATGATGTAGTTACGATGAGATTGGCATCATTTATCCTTTTAAGACCATTATATAGTATATTTGCTGGAGAATATGGCACACACAGTCTAAGTTTGTATGCACCATCCAAATATTATAGTATTTTCTTAACCCAAATCTATATTTTTGGACTAATCACAGCAGCACTTTTTATATCTTTTTTTTTTAATGAAATTATTTATTTAAAAGAACCAAAATGTTTTCTATAAGCTATGTGTTTTCTAAGCACTATTAATATACTGCTGATATATTAGATATGTAATAATAACCTTAATCTATTCAAAAATCTATTAGATCAGCTTTAAAACAAAGAACATCTATTTTTGATAAATTTTTGCAGGGCTGAGTATTTTTATTGCGATTCCTATGACAAAATAGATTGCTATCGCTATTGCTATTAGGTCTGAGTAATTTTATTGCTAATTAATTATTTATAACAGCACTTTCCTGCATAGAGGACAGTTGCTTTCCCACATTGTAATAACAATAATAATCTCTAACCTGAATATTCTTCAACTGATGATAGTCTAAAGCTTTCTTTTTGCCATATATACTCTTTTGCAACTGAGTTAATCAGATCATCATAATAATTTCTAACAATTTTTAAGACATCATCATTCAAGTGAAAGATTCTATATTCTACAATGATATCACTAGACATAATTTATTAATCTAAAAAAAAATCCTTAAAAATTAAAGTATATTTTAAGAAAAAAAATCTATATTTACAATATAAATTGTATAATAATAGAATTACTATACTATAATAATAACCTTATGCTATTCAAAAAACTATTAAACCTGTTTTAAAAAAAGAACCTATGATTTTGAATAACAACAACAACAACAACAACAACAACAACAACAACAACAACAACAACAACAACAACAACAACAACAACAACAACAACAACAACAACAACAACAACAACAACAACAACAATATATTTTGAGTTAACAAGATGTTACAATAAAACGCAGATTATTGCAAATAGTAATAAAGCGCAATGACCTAAATAAGATAAAGTGAAAAAAATTATAACAATAAATAAAATAATAATAATATGAACTAAGTTAACCACATAATAAAAGTTAAGCATTTAAGTTAAAGTTAGATAAGTTAGCCACATAATTAAGTAGAGTTTCATAAATATTTATTAAGTAACACCAACAAAACAGACCAAAGGATAGGATCTGTTTTTAGGATTTTCAGAAAGCAATTCCAAGACAGAATACACTGGCATCTAAGAGAAATAACTCCATGTTTACTTGTCTGTTTTGGTAGGATAGTTAAGTTGCTGAGTGACTGATCTTTAGTTATACCCACATGTTGTTCTATTAATAAAGTAGTTGTGAAATATATTAGAAAGAACACCATGTTGTTGATCCCAGACAAATTAACAATTTAAGAACTGAATTAAGTCGTAGATTTAGGATTAACAATTAATAACAATTATAATTTATATAATAAATAACAATTTAGGAACTGAATTAGGTTATAGCAGCGAAGAACTTTGGACGTAAGATCTTACATCCAAATTTTCCTACTGACATCCTATATCTAAGATAAAGGATGTCAGTAGGAAAATTTCTTGGACAGGACACTGTAATAAAATATCACATCCGCCTAAAATATTACATCCCCCATAGAAAAATTAAAAACGAGAACGCGCTTTCGAGTCATTGCACTTAGAAGTGTATCAAATACGTCCGAAACATTCAATTATAAACAATATACGTTTTTTTACTAATATATTATAAATGAAGTTAGCATAAAATGGTAATATATTTTAAATTCTTATTTATAATATTTTGATCGTAATGTATTGTGTGACAATAGCGTAGAAGAAGATTACACATTAGGGATACTTTATGTAATAAAAATAACAATCGTTTGCAATATTTTAGAAGCCTGCATAGGGGGGATGTGATATTTTAAGCAAGAATTCTAGTTTCTTTTTGTGACATATACAGAAATAACAGGTGGTGGATGTTATATTCTATATACCAAATACTAATTGTTTAAAATACTTTATAAACTACTTAGGGGGATGTAATATTTTAGAAGTAGACATCGGGGGGATGTTATATTTTAAGTAAGAATTTCAGTTTCTTTTTGTGACATATACAGTGAATAAACCGAGGGGATGTGATATTCTAGATACCAAATACTAATCGTTTGAAATATTGTATGAATTACTTAGGGGGATGTAATATTTTAAAGGTAAACATAGAGGGGATGTGATATTTTAAGTAAGAATTTCAGTTTCTTTTTGTGACATTTACATAGAATCTACAGGGGGATGTAATATTTTAGGTATCAAATACTAATCAATTGAAATATTGTATGAATTACTTAGGGGGATGTAATATTTTAAAAGTATACATAGGGGGGATGTGATATTTTAAGTAAGAACTTCAGTTTCTTTTTGTGGTACATACAGAACTTACAAGTGATGGATGTGATATTCTTGGTACCAAATAGCAATCGTTTGAAATATTGTACGAATTACTTTGGGGGATATAATATTTTAGAAGTATACGTAGGGGGGATGTGATATTTTAAGTAAGAAGTTCAGTTTCTTTTTGTGACATATACATAGAGTCTACAGGGGGTGTGATATTCTAGGTATCAAATACTAATCAATTGAAATATTGTATGAATTACTTAGGGGGACCTAATATTTTAAAGGTAAACATAGAGGGGATGTGATATTTTAAATAGCAAATATTAATTGTTTGAAATATTGTATGAATTACTTTGGGGAATGTAATATTTTAAAGGTAAACATAGAGGGGATGTGATGTTTTAAGTAAGAATTTCAGTTTCTTTTTGTGACATACGCAGAGATTCCACAGGGTAGATGTGATATTTTAAATACCAAATATGAATTGCTTGAAATATTGTAGAAAAGTACTTAGGGGGATCTAATATTTTAGAAGTATACATAGGGGGGATGTGATATTTTAAGTAAGAATTTTAGTTTCTTTTTGTGGTACAAACATAATTTGCAAGTGATGAATGTGATATTCAGGATAGCATTTACTACTCATTTGAAAAACTTAATGAATTACTTAGGGGATGTAATATTTTAAAGATATACATAGGGAGGATGTGATATTGGAGAATATTTTAGAAGCCTGCATAGGGAGATTTGATATTTTTATTTAGAATTTTTGCTGTTATTTGCAAAATGTGCAGAGATTACTCAAACAGTCTTTTTTAATTCATATTTCATTGAGCTAACAAGTTAAAAATGTATTATTGTTCAATCAATTCATATGTATGCCAACATATAAGTTTACACAAAATAATATGTATGCCGACATGTAATCTATGCCGAATGTAAAATATGCCGAAATATGTAAAATATGCCGAATATGTATGCCAATGATTTACACAAAATAATATGTATGGGGACATATGAATTGGCAGAATTATGAAGGCTTCCGACAATTTAAAGTATTATAACAATACAAGAAGTCACTAAAAATAGGGAGAAAAAAAATTTCACCTTTTCGAGTTTTTATCTGTAAGGGCATAAACATTTAAATTGGTTCAATTTATGACAAAATTTTGAAGAAAAAGAAATGACTGCAATTTTTAAAGTTTTATTTATTATTACATTTATATATAAATATGTTCACAACAAAATAAAGTTTCATTTTTAAAAACAATGCATCTTATACGATACCATCAATTTGGATGCAAATATCACATTTGATCTAAAAATAAATAATAATGTACATTTTTGTATTTGAATATTTAAAGTAAGTGTTTTATTCTATTTGAAATAATTAAAATAAATATTATTACCCATCATATACCCAAAAAAAATTATATTTTATTACACATTATATACCCAAAAAAACAATTAAAATATATTTTATTACCCATTTAACTTTTTTTTGATTTTTTCTAGTTTTTTGACCAATTTCGCTTCCACAAATGCGACACAAACTATTCTGCCAACTTTTCTGACCTATTGATTTAATTTTTCATCATTTTTTTTTTTTTGTCTTTTTTAGAGATATCATTTAACATTGAAGTAGTATAAACATTTTCAGTTCTCTAAATAATCTCACAAACCTCCTTTATCTCTCTTTCTATATGCATTAACTTCTACATGTGGAAAGAAACGCACCAATACTTCTCCATTTGTATAACTTTCAGCAAACTAAAATATGTAAGCTTATATATATATATATATATATATATATATATATATATATATATATATATATATATATATATATATATATATATATATATATATATATATATGTATATATGTATATATATATATATATATATATATATATATATATATATATATATATATATATATGTATATATATATATATATATATATATATATATTTGTGTGTGTGTGTGTGTGTGTGTGTGTGTGTGTGTGTGTATGTGTGTGTGTGTGGGTGTGAAATACTTTATAATTAAATTAATAAATCATTAATTTTTTTTAGATAAAAGTTTTTGAATACCTTATGCCGTCTTTGTATTAAATCAGTTTTAATTTGCAATTCATCCAGTGAGCGTAGCCCAGCTGGCTACAGTACTTTGACTCGATTCTTCAAAGCATCAATAAATGGAATGGCATTCAATATATTGTTTTATATTTAGAATTAAAATTTTATTTAAATAAAGACAAAATAAAAAAAAAAAATGCGTTATTGTTTTTTTGTACAATAATTTTATTATAAAGTACATTAATTAATTATACTTTTTCTTTACTGTTTACTAATATTTTGAGATAAATATTAACAACTTCGTCACTGAGACATTCGTTTAAAGTGTCTTGTAACGAATAATCGTGTACCTTGCAGTCACCTAAATCTGGATGTATACCCAGAATGACTTTTACAGGGTTTTTTAATATGGATACATTTTAATAATCCGTAACCTATTCATGAAATGCAATTTAAGGATAATTTCATCAAAATTTAAGCATAAGCCTTTCTTCTAATAAAATAACGACTATTACATTTATTGAAGATTACATGTTTTAAAACTCTACACATTTCTTCACCAGGTTGGATAATGTTTAAATTGATTATTTAAATAGGTTTACATAAAAATCTTTATTACAATAAAAAGGTAACGCTAAAAAAATGTAAAAGTGATTTATTATTATATACCTTCACTGTCTTTAGATGCAAAGATTTTTATAATTATCTGCCTCCTCTAGAAAATAAATTATAAATAAAATAAAACGCTAACAATTACAAATGAATTAGTAAGTTTTTAATTCATACCTTCACTATTATTAACTTCAAAGCTTTTTGTTGGTGTCTCTGCCTTCTCTTGAAAATAACCATAAAATAAAATAATGAAAAAATATATTTTTTAACAATAAATTAAAATAAGAAAACGAATATTTTACCCGAGTATAAATCAAAAAACAATAAAAATTGTTTTCATATTAGTATTACCTGTAGAAAGTTAAACAAATATTAGGTTTGAAGAAAAAATAAAATATTTTATAAATAGAATAAAAACTTTATTGAAGTAACAGATATACCAGTAACTTCTAGAGAGTAACAATATTAAAAAAAAAACATTTCTCTTCTCAGCGTTTTTTAAAGACGTTTAAAGACCTGTATTAGGCGTAATAAAATTTAGACGCCTTTGAATAGCTATGGCTTTCTGAGACAAGTGTCTGACAAAGATGTCTTTTAAACTAAAATAAGTGAACATAAACTCTCAACCTCAACTAATATATTTAAAAATATAATGTAACTTCTTTTTGTTTTAGCTCATTCTTTTTCTAGCGCTTATCTTTCTTTAAACCTTTTAATTTTCTAAACTGATCAAAACGAGCTTCTTGATTCACAAAAAAGTTATGCCAAATATTGTGCGGCCGTGGCGCAATGGTTAGATCATAGGCTTTGTAAGCAGGAGATCCAGGTTCAAAACAAGCTTTGGACATATTTCGCGTCATGGTAAGAAAGGAGGCGTGAACTTCCTGGTTAAATGCACTTCTGCGGTGCTCTGTGACAAGACCGTTAGGACTTCTTAGGGTACCTAAATAACAAATTAAAAAAATATATATATATAAATAAGGACAATTTTGTGCAGATTTTTTGTTATGTTTATTATGGCTACGCGTTGGCACCGGACTCGTTGAATAAAAATTTAATCAATCTTTATTATAACAATTAACATAGTCAGTTTTGTTACCTAATTCAATCATTTAAATTAAGCCACTACGCTTTCGTCTTTTTTTCAAACTTGTTGAATTCAACGCTATAAATCTGTCATTATAAGGATGATTATTATCTGTTAGTGAAATCTTCTTCGAACCATCTTTAGCATTTGTGTCATTAAGAAAATAGGAAAACCTAACAAAAGCAGAATATTCTTAGTGTGGAAGAATAATACTTGCTCAATAGTATTTTTTTTCAAAACTTTAATTTTTACAAAAATGTTGTGTTAACATTTGATAGAATATATATATATATATATATATATATATATATATATATATATATATATATATATATATATATATATATATATATATATACAACAAACCGTTCATGTACTTTGTCTTTTACAGTACATTATTCTTTATCATTTTAGTTCAGTATGATATTGGATGATTCTAATACATGAAATACATGATTTTATAATTTATTGTAATAAATATAAGTTAATTTTTTAACTGCCACTTTTAAAAATTTGTATAATTTTAATAATTGTGAACTGGACTAAATATTATTAACTCGCCTCAACAGGCTCAATAATCACATTATATTTCCATACCAAGCCACCCAAAGAAACGTTAATATTTAAAAATAGTTCTTTAAAATGTTCCTTTATTAAGAAAAGAAGTTTCTATTATTCAAAAAAAGTATCTAAAGAATTTATAACCTTCCCAAAACATTACGCCTAAGCCACCATAGGTGGACGTAATGGAGAAAAATTTTAAATTATGCAATAGAATTAAAAAAGACAAACCGTAATTATTTATTTTCCTTCAAAACGTTTTGTACATTAAAATATTTATGTTGTAAGATATGAATACATTTAGAGTAAAAAATTATTGTTATTAATTTCGTTCATTTTAAATCTTATGAAAACTTTAATTCCACCAAAGTTTTATATATGACTTCGTTGAACAATGTCGCATGTTTAAATTGTTAGCTCAATCGTATCTAAAAAAAAATAAAATATTAAATTAAAACTTTAAAAAGCTAAAAAACACTTTAAATATTAAAGTTTCTTGATTTTATTAAAAGTTTTTTAATTTTTTTTTAATTCTTTAATTAAATATATAAATTTATTATAAAGATCTCCCCATCAGAGGAGGACCCAAGAAACAAAAAATAGCTAACAATACTTGAGATGGATATCTAACTTAAATTACACATCAACCCTATGCAGGCGTCTAAAATATTATTATTATCCCACTAAGGAATTCTTTTCAATATTTTAAACAATTAGTATTTTGTGTTTTAAATATCAGATTCCTCACTTAAAAATTCTGTGTGTATCACATAAAGAAACTAAAATTTTTACATAAAATATCACATCCCCCCTTTGTATACTTTTAAAATATTACATCCCCCTAAGTAATTCTTTACAATATTTCATTAGGTATCAAATACTAATCAATGATTAGTATTTAGTACCTAGAATATCACATTCCCCCTATTTATTCTCTATAAATGTCACAAAATAAAACTGAAATTCTTACTTAAATTACACATCCACCCTATTCAGGCGTCTAAAATATTACATCCCACTAAGTAATTCATAAAATAATTCAAACAATAAGTATTCGGTAACTAGACTATAACATCCATCACTTGTAATTTCTGTATAAATAACATAATGAAACTGAAATTCTTTCTTAAAATATCACATCCCAACTATGTCTACTTCTAAAATATTACATCTCCCAAAGTACTTCTTTACAATAGTACAATATTTCATTTAAAAAAAAGTACTTCTTTACAATAATAAAATATTTCATTTAAAAGTTCTGTATATACCACAAAAAGAAACTTAAATTCTTATAATATCACATGCCCTCTATGTTTATCTTTAAAATATTACATCCCCCTAAGTAATTCATAAAATTTTTCAAATAAGTAGTAACTGCTATCTTGAATATCACATTCAACACTTGTAAATTATGTTTGTACCACAAAAAGAAACTAAAATTCTTACTTAAAATATCACATCTCCCCTATGTATACTTCTAAAATATTAGATCCCCCTAATTATTTTTCTACAATATTTCAAGCAATTCATATTTGATATTTAAAATATTACATCTCCCCTGTGGAATCTCTGCATATGTCACAAAAAGAAATTGAAATTCTTATTTAAAACATCACATCCCTTCTATGTTTACCTTTAAAATATTACATCCCCTAAGTAATTCATACAATATTTCAAACAATTAATATTTGCTATTTAAAATATCACATCCCCTCTATGTTTACCTTTAAAATATTAGGTCCCCCTAAGTAATTCATACAATATTTCAAACGATTGGTATTTGGTACCTAGAATATCACATCCATCACTTGTAAGTTCTGTATGTACCACAAAAAGAAACTTAAATTCTTACTTAAAATGTCATATCCCCTCTATGTTTACCTTTGAAGTAATACATCCCATAAGTAATTCAAACAATATTTCAAACGATTAGAATTTAGTATCTAGAATATCACATCCCCTCGGTTTATTTGCTATATATGTCACAAAAAGAAACTGAAATTCTTACTAAAAGTATTACATCCCTTCTAAGTTTACCTTTAAAATATTACATCCCCTAAAGTATTTCATACAATATTTCAAACAATTAATATTTGCTATTTAAAATATCACATCCCCGCTATGTTTACCTTTAAATTATTACATCCCCCTAAGTAATTCATACAATATTTCAAACAATTAGTAATTGGTATCTAGAATATCACATCTCCTCGGTTTATTCACTGTATATGTCACAAAAAGAAACTTTAAATCTTTACTTAAAATATCACATCCCCCCTATGTTTATCTCTAAAATATTACATCCCCCTAAGTAATTCATAAAACATTTCAAATGGTTAGTATTTAGTGTTTAAAATATAAGATTTATCACTTGTAAGTTCTGTATGTACCACAAAAAGAAACTGAAGTTCTTACTTAAAATATCACATCCCCCCTATGTATACTTTTAAAATATTACATCCCCCTAAGTAATTCATACAATATTTCAATTGATTAGTATTTGATACCTAAAATATTACATCCCCCTGTAGATTCTATGTATATGTCACAAAAAGAAACTGAAATTCTTACTTAAAATATCACATCCCCTCTATGTTTACCTTTAAAATATTACATCCCCCTAAGTAATTCATACAATATTTCAAACGATTAGTATTTGGTATCTAGAATATCACATCCCCTCGGTTTATTCACTGTATATGTCACAAAAAGAAACTGAAATTCTTACTTAAAATATAACATCCCCGATGTCTACTTCTAAAATATTACATCCCCCTAAGTAGTTTATAAAGTATTTTAAACAATTAGTATTTGGTATATATAATATAACGTCCACCACCTGTTATTTCTGTATATGTCACAAAAAGAAACTAGAATTCTTGCTTAAAATATCACATCCCCCCTATGCAGGCTTCTAAAATATTGCAAACGATTGTTATTTTTATTACATAAAGTATCCCTAATGTGTAATCTTCTTCTACGCTATTGTCACACAATACATTACGATCAAAATATTATAAATAAGAATTTAAAATATATTACCATTTTATGCTAACTTCATTTATAGTATATTAGTAAAAAAACGTTTTTATTAATTATATTGTTTATAATTAAATGTTTCGGACGTATTTGATACACTTCTAAGTGCAATGACTCGAAAGCGCGTTCTCGTTTTCATTTTTTCTATGGGGGATGTAATATTTAAGGCGGATGTGATATTTTATTACAACACACACACACACAGACGATAATTTTGGTCCGCCGATAAAAATGACTAAATTTCTCAGAAAATATATATCCGGCCGGATAATTTTTTTCTGAAAAAATTGGTCTGAGCTAGAAAAAATTGGTCCGTGTTATGCATGTGAGCATATATCTTTTAAATTATCATGGAAGACGACCTTGTTCAAAAAGTTTTTACTTATTTAAGTAAAAAGCAATACCCTGATGGAAGTCTAGAAGGCGAAAAAAGAGTCATTAGAAAAAAAGCCTTTAAGTTTATGATTTCGGAAGGTGGGGAATTACTATATAAGTATAAAAAGAAAGACAAGGTAACTCGTTTATATAAAAATATGGTAACAATATTTATATAAATACACACTCACTATTATTATTATTGTTATTATTATTTTGTTATTATTATGTTTTTAGGTGATAGTAATATTATGTAAATACATGTTTAACTAGTTTACTATCATTATTACTTATTATTGATTATTGATATATTTTAGCTTTAATTTCGATTAGATGTTTATTTTTATTTTGATAATGAGTATTAATATCATGTTATTGTTACTGTTACTATTTTCATTGTTGTTTATATTGATGTGTTATATTTTCAAACTATTTTTTACTTTATTTGTATAACTGTTTGATAGCTTAACTATGTTTATGTCTTTAACTTTGTTTATTGTATTTGTTAGGAATTTATTTTATACTAGTATATATATTATTGTAAATATCCTTGAAATGTTAACTACTAATTTCCGAGTATATTTAATTTGATTTGAACAAGGTAATAAACAAATACTGACAATTCAATGCTTGATTTATCAATATTTATTCATAACAATTATTTATTCTAAAATAAACAGCAGTTAATATTATTCATTATTTAGCCTAATTCATCAAATTTAACCTAAATTTGAAATTTCTGCAAGCTAAATTTTGAATTAAGAAATGATGTTCAAATTAATATACATGTAACATATAACATAGCAATATAGCTCAAAAAAATAAAATTGTAAGTTGTTTTTATTTCTGCTTTGCAACTTTAATTGACTTTTATATTTGTCTGTATTTTTTGCCATAGCTTATTGGTGGCATAGTTTTAATAACTGAATATAACAAAATAAGTTATAGAAAAATATTATTATCATTTTAGTGTCCTTGTTTCTCTCCTTGTATGGGTTGGATGTTTCTTATAATGCTGTGTCTCTAACATACACTTGAACATTTTTTTTCTTGAAATGTAGCTTTTTCAAATCATCTGAAACTCACTCTTTCCAAGTTTTTATGTTTCTACCTCTACCTTTTTCTCCTGAAACTTTTAACTTTTTACATGTTGATAACCAGTCATCTGCATCCTTACGCCCCACATGCTCAAACCACCTCAATCTTCCCTGATGCACCCTATCAAATACACTCACTATGCCTAATCTTATTCTTAAATCATCACTGCTTTTCTTGTCTTTTAGAGTCACACTGCACATCCTTCTAATCATCATCCTTTCTATCCTTTCCAAATGCTGAACATCATCGACCTTGATTGCTTTTAGTTTCTTTTTCATTCAATTAATTCTTAGTAGCCCCTCCCCCTCCCCTCTCCCCTCTTTAATGATAGAGACCTTACTCTGACTTACTCTGAAGCAAACCTTACTCTTGCCCTAGGTGCTTCTTCTGCTCTTCCAGCTGATCCAATTGTATCTCCAAAATTAAAAAAATTTAATAACACACTATCTTTCCTCTACTTTTTATTTGAAGTAATAGCCACTAAAGACAAAATGGCAGTTACAGTGGCAGGATGTCTGTTCAAGGTATTACATTTTTGTTTCTGTCATTGTTTTAGCATCCTTGCTAAATGCTATCTTTCTGGGTATCAAGTTTTTGGGTCCAAATAGTTTGCATCTTTACATTCTATATTTTCAAACAACATTAAAATTCCCTGATAATCTCAACTTAATACACTGATTTTCTCTCCAATTTCTTTATACATAAATCTATTTATATATGAAAATTTATTACAAAAATATATCCTTAAACTTATATGTAATGAAACTATTTTGGATATCCAAAAAAACAAAAAATAGAGAAAATATCAGGAGTTCCAGAAATATCCAGAAAAAGATAATCCTTGAACATTAATATTTTTAACTTTTATTTTTATTTTTGAATTTTGTCTAAAAAAGAAAAGGCATCAATGAGAGAGTCAGCCCAAATGTGATAAGTACACTTATGATAATTGTTGCTGAAGTTGCTCTTTTTAATTTCTAACCTGAATTATTCTCTTAATTCGCATACCACTTTATTTTTGATCAATAAATTTCTTAAACTTTAATAATTTATTCAATTTAAAAAAAAAAAAATTACACTTAAATGAAGATAAAATAATAACATAATGTTATATCTTTCTAAAGAGTTCAAATGTGATGATCTTAGAGATCAAAAGTAATGATTTTGAAAAGGAATCTGATGGTGTATTTGTTAGGATGCATAGGGAAAATTAAGTTGGTTTGGGTATGTAGAGCATAAAGGTGCTACTAATTGGGTATCAGCATTTAGAGAGAAGTTTTATAAGAAAAAGAGAGGTAGGTATAGAAAATTTTTGAAAAAGTTAAAGAAAGACAATGCACAAGATTAATGAAACATGCAGTAGCGGATTTAGTATAAGGCATGGAAGAGCTGCCCCACACACACACCCACACACACACACACACACACACACACGCACACACACACACAACACACACACACACACTCCCTAGAACAGTCAAACGACGCCCCTTAAAACATTCAAAAATATGTGTATGTATGTAATATGTATGATAAAAGTCATGTAAAACCAAAAGTGGTTACCAACAACAACAAGCTATTTATTTTTCGTTTATCATTTTACAATAGTTTTGATAATAATAGTAATAATAGCAAAAATATATAATAATAACATATGATAAAAATACCACCAGAGTTGTTAGTCCTTGGACTTGACTTTAACCTTGGCTTTTCCTTAAGGCCAAAAATTGAAGTCTTGGCCTCGAAACTGTTGGCCTTGGCCTTCAAAATTTTTGCCTTGGCCTAAATTGTTTTGGCCTTGGCCTTAAAAAAAATACATATTTTCTAATTGATTTCATTAAATTCTTCCCATAACCTTAGTCTATTTTTACAAAATGTGGTTTTCTTGTCACTGTACTTGCTGCTTACATAAATACCTTCTTAATCAATCGTTTAAAATGTTAATCAGGGCAAGAAGCACCAAAAAAAAGTTTCTACAATTATTATTATTTTTTTTTTAATTATTTATTATTAAAAAAAAAAGTTTAATATTAGTTTAAATTATTGATTCGAAATGTGATTCGAAACGCAAATCAAGACCTGCTTTGATTAAAGATTTGGTTCAAAACAAAAAATGCTGATTTGCAGGGCTCTAATGTATATGGTACTATTATCATAAGTCATTCAGGTTTTCAAGAGGTGGAGATTGCCAAGAGTTTTGCTGTCAGATAATGGGACTGAATTTTGCAATGAACTAAATAATACCCTTAATGTATTGCTTGGTAAAAAGAAAAGGCTCACAACTCCATATCACCCACAAGTAAGTTAAATGTTAATTTATTGTTAGTGAATAGGTTAGTAAAGAAATAAGATAATAATATCTCAAGTTATTTGTTGAATTAGGTTAATTAGTTTAAATTATTTAAATTATAAAACAATTTGTTTTACATTTAAGGCTAATGGACTTGATGAAAGATTTAATCAGGCTTTGCAGAATATGCTAGTAAAATATGTATCCTCCAAAAAGGAACAATGGAGTCTTTTTCTAGATACCTGTGCATTTGCGTACAATACATCTTGTCATGATTCCACAAAGTTCACACCTTTTCAATTGATGTATGGTCAACAAGCATATCTTCCAATTGATGTAGATTTCCAGACAGAGTCTTTTAAAGAATTAAGTTCAAATTATTTTAAATTAAAGGAGCCAGACATATTGCAAAGAGAATACAATTTAGTTTTAGAAGAAGCTGAACAAAATATTTTAAAAGCTCAAGTTAAGCAAAAAAAAAATTATGATAAAAAACACTCAAAATCTGGGGTCTTTAAAGTCAATTCATTGGTTCTAAAATTAAATCATAGATGTAAAAAAACCAAAGGAGGTAAGTTAAATGATAGATTTGTAGGCCCATATAAAATACTTAGTTGCTTTCCTCAAGGAGTGTACAAACTTCAAGATAATAAAGGCGTTACGATTCGTGCTACTGGTGGTCATCTTAAAATCTATAAACCTTCAGGTCCTACTTTACAAAATTGCAAAACATGTTCTTCTGATGAAGAAGTTCTTGATAATCAATGTTTTGATGATGAAGTGACTTCTCCGAATCCCTCAGTCTTTAAATCATCAAACTCAATATCAACTATTGAATCATCAGACTCGATATCAGAAAATGAACCAAATAATGATAACTGTTAGGGTTTAAATAAAACTCCTCCAAAATCTAGTACCCCTGGTAATGGCTCACCTTCAGTAGATGCACTAAACTGTGCTAATGAGTGCTTAAAAGAAAATATAAATAGTTTTACTATTAATGATACACATTCATAAGTTAAAATAGAAGATGAAATCCATCCAATGAATTTGGTTTGTTCAGGTTTGTTCATGCCAAAATAGGTGTGCTACAAGGTGATGCCCTTGCAAACAGTTTGGTGTTGTATGCAAGAGTCATTGTCATCCAAATAGATTATGTTTAAATAGACAGGAAGCTTTTCAAGCAGAACTTATTTGTCTAGAAGAAGAAGTATACACAGAAGAAGAGACCGTTTCTATTGGTGGTTATGATTTTACACATATTAGAAAAGTAGCAC